TTTTTTTTTTCTTTTGATATGTTGGGCGCTCGTGATGAATGTGACGTCCGGTTCCAGCAGTTCCGTTGGTATAAGTTTATTGTCCCCGGTTTGGCCAGCGGGGCGTGCGTGAAGCGGTTGGAGACAGCGCTTGCCGCTGTGGATGGTGTTGCTGTGGTTGATGTGAGCGTCAGCGTGGAGAACGGATTGCTTGCGGTGCAGACGCTGTGGACGGAGGAGAGTGCAGAGGCCAGCCTGCGCGACGCCATTGTGTCCGTCGGCATCACCGTTGTGGACTCTTCGGTGCCGGCGGAGCAGAACTTTCTCATTCTGGGCATGTCGTGCGCGTCGTGCGCGGCACGAATTGAGTCGCACGTGGGTCGTTTGCCGGGCGTGAAAAGGGTGACGGTGAACTTCGCGGCAATGAGCGCCCATGTTGTGCACGATGCGCTGCTGCTTTCGCAGAAGGACTTAATCAATGAAATCGCGGCCATGGGGTATACAGTGACACCGCGCGCGATGCCACTGAACGCGTCGCTGTCGTCCGACAGTATGATAAGCGACGCGGTGCAGTTGTTGGTCGGCGGCATGTCGTGCACGTCATGCGCTGCGAGAATCCAGTCGTGTGTGCGGCGTCTGGACGGCGTGAAGGACTGCAGCGTTAATTTCTCAACAGGCGTTTGCGCTGTGAAGCTTGATAGCGGAGAGGCTCGCGACCGTGTCGAGAAGCTCATTGAATCGTTGGGGTACACGGTCGCCCCCATCAGCAATACAACGGATGCGGCGGTCATCGAGCAGACAAAGGAAGCCCTTGAGCGGACACGGGAGATCGATGACCATAGGAGGCGGTTTGTCGGAGCCGCGGTGCTGGCAACGCCGTTGGCAGTGGTCATGTTGATGATGGCAACAACGCATGTTCTTGACGACCATGGTACAATGATGTTAGTGGACGGCATGCAGCTGGGAGTCACGACGCCAATTGTTTTTTACTACGGTTCGGGTTTTTTCACACGAGCTTGGCGGAGTCTTTTGCGTAAGACGTTTACCATGGACACATTGGTCGCCATCGGCACTGGGTGCACATATTTCTACTCGCTTCTAATGTGGATTGTCAATGTACTAACGCGGCGCCATATGGTGACCTACTTCGACACCGCTGGCATGCTGCTTGCCTTTATGCTTCTTGGACGTTACCTTGAGGCGCGCGCCAAGCGCAGCACGAGCGATGCATTGATTGAATTGATGAGCTTAGTACCACCTGTTTCAATCATAGTGATGCCGCAAGGAGATATGGTAGTGCCGTCGTCGTTCGTCAAGAAGGGCATGCAGGTTCGTGTGCTGGCAGGTGACCGCATACCTGTGGATGGAATTGTTGTGGAAGGGATGTCGGATGTAGATGAGCAAATGGTGACAGGCGAGGCGGTGCCGAAGGCGGTTAAGCCAGGGACAGAGGTGATTGGTGGAACCACAAATATGACAGCGATGCTGGTGATACAGGCGAACAAGATCGGTGAGGAAACTATGCTGTCCCAGATTCTTCGCGTGGTGCAAGAGGCGCAAAACAGCAAACCTGTCATTCAGCGAGTTGCTGACCAGATTGCAGCATATTTTGTGCCATTTGTCGTTTGCTTCTCTCTGCTGGTCTTCATAACGTGGATGATTCTTGGCGTCCTCAACGCATACCCGCCGGAGTGGCGCAACCCCGAGGAGTCGTCAGTGCTGTTTGCGTTCAATTTCTTCATCGCCTCTGTTGTCGCGGCGTGCCCCTGCGCGCTGGGGCTTGCGACGCCCACCGCCATCATGGTTGGCACTGGTGTCGGTGCAAAGAATGGTGTGTTGGTAAAGTCTGGAACAACTTTGGAGGTGGTGCGCCGATCGAACTGTATTGTGTTCGACAAAACTGGAACGATAACAAAGGGCAAGCTTCAGGTCGTCTTCAAGGAGTTTCGATGCGACGATGTCGACGTCGACGCCGACGCAGCCATCAAAGCGGTGGGGGCCGTGGAACAGCAGTCCAAGCACCCGGTCGCCAAGGCTGTTGCCGCCGATATTCTCACCGCCACTGAAAACACGTTGTATGAGGTGGTCAGCTCGAAGACCTACGGCGGCCTGGGCGACGAGGCTGTTGTGCGTCGCAGNGATACCGGGCTGCAACTAAAAGTACACGTCGGAAACCTGGCACTGATGCAGCAGAGTGGTGTCCAGGTGCCGTTGGCGATTCGGCGCACCGCGCAGCGGCAAGGCGATCTGGGGAGGACCACGGTTGTTGGTGCAGTGGATGGTGTTGCAATGCTTGTTTTTGCGCTTTCCGATGAACCTAAGGATGAGGCAGTTGGTGTCATCCGCTTCCTCCAAAAGCAGCACATTCGTGTCCTGCTTGTTACGGGAGACAACCGCAACGTTGCAGCACACGTGGCCAGTGCAGTTGGAATACCGCTACAAGACGTGTATGCTGAAGCCCTCCCCACCACAAAGTCCGGTATTGTCCGTCAGTTGCAAGCAGAAGGACAAAGGGTCATTTTTGTCGGTGATGGTATCAATGATAGCCCCGCACTGGCGCAGGCGGACGTCGGCGTCGCCCTTGGAGCAGGAACAGAGATCGCCATTGAGGCGGCTGACGCAGTACTTGTGAGCAATACTCTGGTTGACCTCCTTAACCTCCGAGCCCTTTCCACCGTCACCGTTCATCGCGTGTACGGCAATTTTGTGTGGGCATTCAGCTACAACCTTGTCATGCTGCCACTAGCCAGCGGTATGTTCTACCCCATATTGCACCTACGGCTCCCGCCTGTAATTGCAGGTGCGGCGATGGTGCTCTCAAGTCTAAGTGTGTTGTTGTCTAGCTTATCACTACGCTGCTTTTCCCCATACAGACAAGACGCGTTTATTGACAACTGCTAAGCA